TGATTCATAATTAAACATGTATGAGCTGGATGGTCATTTTGATGAATGAAAGATCCAAAAGGTCACACAATTTATTATTGTATTTGTGTGAAATGTTCAAATTAGGCAAATCCACAAAGGCCGAAGGAGGCCAGTGGTCAGGGAACAGGGGAGGAGCAGTGAGTTCTGTTTGCTTGGAAGTGTGGGTTTCCTTCGCAGGCAGGCGGTAGCGATATTCTGAGATTAGATACAGCAACGATAACACAACTGTTGGAGTACACCAAGGGGAGACCGGTGATGTGCTTCAAAAAAGTCAATCTGAGATGGATCAGTGGGCTGGGCGCCTGCCACACAGGAATGGGGGCCTCTGTTTGGATCCTCAGAACCCACACAAAACCAGCTCGCCTGTGTCGTGTGTGACTGCAACACACACACACACACACACACACACACACACACACACACACACACACACACAGGAGTGATGGGGGAGGGAGGGAGGGAAGAGAGAGAGAGAGATTTTAGAGTATACTTCAATTTAAAATTTTGTGTTTGCTGAATGAATGTGGTACCTAACATGCAAATCAAAGAAAAGACCGTACTGGGCTTAGTTTGGAAATTTGCAGTCGCTTACTATCTCAGAAAAATACTTTACCCACAAGCCGTTGCAGTAGCATTTGAGCCACCAATAACCCACACCCTAAGTGATCAGTAAATTGTGCTTGAGCATTTACAGCTTGGAGAGTACGTGTACTGTAATTCAGTTGCCTGCTAGTCTGTGATAAATGGACCATATTGAGTTTTCTCAGTTAATGACTGTGGGAAGGTTATGTTATCTACATGTTTTACTTCAAGGTAGGGGTGCCCATTACATGAGTAGTTTCATGCTTATTCACATGTGTTTGGCATTGAGGCCAACAGAACTGAAGAACCACTGAAGTGTTTTCAGATCAACCCTTCATTATACACACATGCCCAGCCACAAGCATTCTTTCATTACAGCCCAGGGTCTCTGTCTTTTCTACTCTGCATATAATATTGCCAACAGGTGAAGCCACGGCAGCCTAGCTTTTATCATTTTTCAAGACTGAAGCTTTCACTTGTACAGCCTCTGCCCCAGGAATTATAGTCCTCATGGAAAGCATAGTTGCCCTCCCGTTCTTGCGATCATCCAGACTCCTGAACCTCAGTGGGCTTGAGGAACGTGGCTTTCAGCTGATTCAGCTAGGTGCACTTTCTCCTCTGCTCAAGTTAAAAACCTGCGGTCACTAGGGGGGCCACTGTTTACTCCTACAAGATGCACTCATCAAGCTAAGTGCCTCTCCCCAGGATGCCAGGTGGAGCAAGCTGTTGGCATTCTCAATTTCTGCAATCATAACAAGTATCACATTGGGACATTTAAATAAATAAATGTCCCCAGCTTGGACTCTGTAAAAGCTGTAGTGAGCATCCAAGAGCAAGCAGAGAGGGCGAGCCTGTCATTCGGAAGGCTGGCTTCGAGGCTGGGCTCGTGTATGTCATCATTGACTGGGCCACTGCCTCTGTATAAAATGGTTAAGCCTGACTGTCAACTTGACTGGGTCAAGGGTAGACTAAGAGATAAGCACAGGGGTGCACCTGTCAGGGATTGTCTTCTTTTTCATTTTTTTTACTCTTCTAACAAATATTATATCCAGACCACAGTTTCCTCTCCCTCCATCCCCCCAGTCTCTTCCCCTCACCTCCCCGCTCCTCCAAAGCCACCCCATCCTCTGGGTCTCCCCTCAGAAAAGAGCAGGCCTCCCAAGGACATCAACCAAATATAGCAAAATATACTACAATAATACCAGGCACATACCATCATATCAAGGCTGGACAAGGCAACCCAGTAGGAGGAAAAGGGATTTCCTTGGTTAGATGAGTAGACCTGGGAAGACCCACCCTAAATGTAGGTGGCACTTCCTGTGACAGCCAGAAAAAAGGAGGCCTGAGGGGAAGCTTCTGCCTCGTTGCCTTCACATCTTTCTGGCAATTCATCTACCCTGTTGGGGAGTTCCTCTACTCTGCTCCCACTGCCTCCCACCGCTGCTGCTGTCCTTCAGGGACATCAACAGGCAGTTTCTCCCGGCTTCCAGTGTGGACTGAAGACCAGTGGCTCCTTGGGAATCCCCCAGGTCTTCAGCCCAAAGCTGGGACTTCTGTATCATGAAGCCTGAGGAACAGAACAAGGGTCTCAGGCCCTGCAGTGTGGAGACAGCCACTGTAGATCTACCCAAACAGTTTTGTGTAAGCTATCTAGTAAAACCCCTTCGAATAGATGTTCATTCTATAGGTTCTGTTTCTCTAGAGAGCCCTGACTGATACATACTGCAAATGCCCTCTTTCTTATGGGAGATAGAAATGTTAGTCTGTAGTTCTTAGACTCACGAACATTGAATGAGAACAGCTGTAAGGTTCTCACTGTATGTCCACTCATTCATTCATTCCTGTGTCCCGGTGACACTCACGAGGCAGTGGGCCTTTGGTGGCACCACAACTACCACAGTTCCCAAGAAAAACACAGCTCAGAGAACCTGGAGACTAAGTCACAGGTGCTAATAGTTGTAGCACATCTGGTCTGTCACGAGAAGTCTCTCAAGGAAAAGTGCAGGGTGCTCTAAAAATGTGACATGGTGGGCTAAGCCAGCCCACTGCCTTCAGAAGAGGTGTTCAAAGTGAGCCTCAGGATGCTCAGAGTCGCTCTTCCAAGCCATTGCAACGATCGGTCGAGTGGTTTTCGTTAAGACGCTGGCTCTTAGACCCCAGATGCAAGCACGGGCTGCAGGAGCTGGGTGGAAAACTGGGGAGCTGTGTCTCTGCTCCTGGTTTTTACGTTTCCTGGGTGATTCTCAGGTATCGCCAGGCTTGGGAACTACTGTGCTAAGCAAAGAGTCGGGGAAACAAGATAAGCAGAGTAAACAGCTCCTGGGATGGCCCAGAGGTGGGCAGAGCCTGCTGTTCGTGCAGACCAACTGTACCGACACAGGCATCTTCAGGAAGCTCCTCAGTAATGCAGAACTTCTGCATCCTGAATCATGGAGACAAACCACAGTTTTGCAAAATGCGTGGGAGACTTTTTCATTCACACTAACACACCCAGAAGCACCAGGCGGGAGGATGGAAAGCATCTTCTAGAAAAACCATGGTTTGCATACCCACATCCTCAGCACATTTTTGACTCTAGATAAGTACATCTTGAGTCAAGTAGATTGTTAAGTTTTGGGAGCTGCTAAGATCGATGCAATAACCTTTGACCTCCATACACACACATCAGGTTTGTGAGCACACACATAATAACGATACATTTAAAAATTTGAAAGTATAGTGCTACATTCCATCTCTCTTCTTTTTCAGTGGTGTTAAACCCCGGCCTTCCCGAGTGGGAGGCAGTACTTTACAGTGAGCTACCTCCCCAATTACAGATGTCTCCATAGTCCTTTCTCCTGCTCCATTTCTGCCACCGTAAGAGCCAATTACTTCTCCTTTAAGTGTTTTTACTTTCTTGAGCATTTCATATATGAGGACTGCTTTTATATCATCACACTTCTCCCTCTCCTCTCTTCAACACCTCCTCAAATTCACGGTCTCTCTTTTTTAATTATTATAGTTACACACACACTTATTAATATAAAATACCACCTACTGAGTCCATTTAGTGTTGCTAATATTTGTGTGATTGTAGATAACCAGTTAGGAGGATCTCCCTGAGAAAGACTGATTCTCCCTCCCAGAGCAGTCATTAAGTGCATCATCCAGGCGGCAGGGGAGGGGGGGATCGGATCTTGTGAGGTTCCTCCATCCATGTTGGCGTGTCAACTGGTGCACACACTCTCCTCCACCCTTGGATGGGTTTTTGATGTATCAGTTGGTGATAGGCAGCCCACAGTCAGTTCTCTTCATTTTGACCACTTGTGAATTTCTGTAATGTTCTATGCCTATTGCAAAAAAAGTTCTTTGATATAAGACTTATCTGTGGGCATAGAGATAAGTAATTAGAAGCCAGTTAATCTAAATATTTATCCCTATGGTTTCGGAAAGTGACATAGTAAAGTTAGGTTTAGAATCAGACATAACGCCCTTCCTATTGAGCAGGCTTTAAGTCCAATTAGATGATCATTGATTGCTGCCAAGATACAGATGCCACTATTGCGCCTTTGAGGACATCTTGCCATGGTGGCCACTGTTGTGGTTTAAACTTGTCAAGGCTGGGGAGGACTCCTCATGGCCTTACTCACTTGTCAGCTTGCACAGCACCTTCTGCTGTCATGGGAGTCAGCCTTGATGGAGGAGGCTTCCAGGCCAGGTGCTGATTCCTCCAAGTCCTGTGCCCAAGGTGTGTGGGGTCATCAACAATAGGGACTTATCTTCAAGTTCTGAGAGGAAACCCAGAGTAATAGAAATAGCCTATATTGTTTAGGGATCTTTTGGACTCGCCTAACCAACAGTTTGAAAGTACCATGCCTGGTGCTGGGGGTTTTGTTAGATTGATAGAGCATTATTACCCCAGGTGGAGTAACTTCTCTTAAGAGTGTGTGTGTGTGTGTGTGTGTGTGTGTGTGTGTGTGTGTGTGTGTGTACACGTTATATGTAGTTTTAAGTAAACATAAACTAATATGATTCACTATGCATTTTCCAAACATCCTCAGCGTTATCTATCCTTCTCTCCCTCTGTATCTGCCCTGCTTTCCGCAGCTAAGCCCCACGCCCACTTTTCCCATTCCCTTCCAGCTCCTGCTGCCTGCTACTCAACCAGTTGCTTCTCCACCACACCCTCACTGTCCCTTTTTACTTCCCCAGGATGTGTGTGTGTGTGTGTGTGTGTGTGTGTGTGTGTGTGTGTGTGTGTACATATATACACAAGGAAATTCTGCTTAGCCATAAAGAAAAGTGAGATAATGAAATTTTCAGGTAAATGGATGGAGCGGAAAAATATTATACTCAGTAAACTAACCCCGACCCAGAAAGGCAAACACCACGTGCTCTCTCTTGTTTGTGGTTCCCAGGTCCGCATCTTCTGAACTGATTTCTCCTGACTGATATCTCGGTTCTGGTTTTGACATACCAGCAGAAGAGCTGCACTCCTGCAGGTCAGTCCGCCTTCCAAGCCACCAGGGTCACAATGTTTCAGGGAGGAGCTGACAGCATGGGGATGTGGGCATGCAATGCTCCTTCTCCCCATGCTGTCACTGACCTGAAAGTCAGCCCTCCTCGGTCACTTTCTCCAGCCACTTTCCAGCGGGTTTTCCTTTCCAGGTCACTGGAAACACTGGCGTGCTCCTCGTTCCCAAGTAACTAGATTCTTCCAGTCTGTCTGGGAGCCGGTGAGTGTCTTTGTCTCTAGATACAACGGTGATCCCCCTTGGTGATTAGATGGGCAGGCTACTAGCTGAAAAGTGAAGACTTCCTTCTCTTCTAATGCCAAAAGGGAGAAGAGCCTGGGTGCTTCATCCTGGGTGAACTGGTATTTGTGTTTCCTTTCTCTGATATGGCCATGATTAAAGCAAGGTCTCCTACTCCGGCAACTCCTAAGTCATCAGGGAAGGAGGGGAAGGCTGCGCACTGTTGACAAGAGCAGGCTGCTGGGTACGGGACGCTTGCTTGACTCAACAGAGATGGATAAAAGTTGCTCTGTTTGGAAGAGCACTTAGGAAAAGGTGCTCGTCCCCCAGCCCACAAACCATTCTATGTCCTTTTTCTGGAATAATAATGTTATCTAACACAAACCTAACAAGAGAAAGATCTCTTGACAAGGGGGAGGAAACTTAAGGAGCCAGCTCTGAGAAGGATATAAATTCAGCAATTTTAGCCAAGGCCTATTTCGTTAGGTTATAATATGATATATAGCTGTCTCAAATGAAGGTAGATTGGAGCAGGCCAGAGGAAGAATAGCCAAGAAGAAAGACGCAGTCAAGGACAGCCTGAGATGAACCCCTAGGATATTGCAATGTGATTTAATGTCTGTTTGGCCAGCTGACAGGGCCACCTCGCAGCCCCACACACATCTGCCACAGCACATTCTTCTACTGTTACTGCATTAATAATAGAGGAAGGGAAAGAGACTGTTGGATAAGGGCGAAAGAGGAAAGATATGCCTTCAGATCCCTTTGGAAAGAGCCAGGAGAGAGGACTGCGGGGGGGGGGGGGACGACACAGACACAGCCAGTGGGCAGAGCGTGTGGTTCCAGAAGCTGTGCCCTGATTCTTCTGCATTCTAACTCGGGAACCTCACTGATGTTAGCTCTGCAGTGTTTAAGCACATATTGTACAGCTTTGTCATCCAGTGGAACAGCCACCAGCCACATGTGGCTGTGTAAATTTAAATAACAGGCATATTCACCACATTGGGCTTTGTCTTAGTGTACTTCATAAACACTGCATTGTTTGTGTATGGTATATGTGTGCAAGCATGTTCGTGTGTGCATGTGTATGCATGTGTGCATGCTAGTGCATGTATGTTCATGTCTGTATGTGTATAGGGTGTGTGTGTGTGCATGTTCATATTTGTGTGTTTGTGTGCATGTGTAGGAATGTGTGTATGCATCTGTGTGTGTGTGTGTGTGTGTGTGTGTGTGTGTGTGTGTGTGTGTGTATGTGTATGGAAGAGTGGACACCAGAGGTCAAGGGGTATCTTTCTCACTCTCTCTCCGACTCATTGACTCCAGGGATCTGCTTTCCCAGCACTGGGGTTATAAGCACCCCACCATGCCCAGTTTTCACATGGGTTCGGGGATTGAACTCGGGTCCTCACACTTGGGCAGCAGGCATGGTACTAGCAAGCGAGCATCTGTCCAGCTCCTCCCACTGAAGGGGTCCTAGCGACTCTGCCTCTGCAAGTCCACGGCACCATTCCTTCCAGTGGTTTAGTCGGCTGCTGCTTTTTTTTTTTTTTGCAGGGATTAGTTAGGGTGTGTGCAACTCTTAGGCGTAAGATTATTGCATTCTTATTCTATAAAACAATATGGACACAATTTTTATATATACAAACAATTCATGGCTCATTGCAATATTCATTTGTATTGCAGTGGCCTTGTATCTCTGAGGCATATCTTGTATTTAAAATTAAGTAAAAATTAAAATCCCATTTTCAGCACCATTAGCCACATGTCAAAGGCTTAATTGCCACACGTGGTTAGTGGAAGCCATATTGAACAGCATGGAAAGTTTTTCATCATCCTGGAACACGAACCCCTGTGTGCTTCACACCACACCCCTGTCTTCAGGAGCTGCAGGACTTTCAACCTGGGTCTAAACTGTTCTCTCTCTCAGAGTTTCGATCTCTAATTTGAGAGTGGATAAAAACAGAATCTCTCCTAGGGTTGTTGAAAGTGTGTGTGTGTGTGTGTGTGTGTGTGTGTGTGTGTGTGTGTGTGTACATGTGTATGCGAGTGTGTGTGTGTGAGTGCATTTGTGTGTATGTGTGTATGTGTGTGAGTGTGTGTGTGAGTGCATTTGTGTGTATGTGTATGTATGTATGTGAGTGTGTGTGTGAGTGCGTGTGTGTGTGTGTGTGTGTGTGTGTGTGTGTGTGTGTTTATAGTAATCATCACCCAAAGTGAAGCTATTCTCTAGCTTAGCACTACCTAAGATACAGGCAGCATCTGGTACCAAAGATGAACAAATACAAGAGATCAAGAGTTACGACCTTCTGTTTTAAGCACTATGGTTTGCATTTCAGATGTATCACCACTAACTGCTCCAATTTTCACTTCATCAAAAGACAGTCTCTCCCAGTCTGTCTCTTGCCTTCATCCTCTTGCAACAGAACACGAGACCCAGACTTCAGAGAAATGAGATATTTTAGTCCTGTGATGTGTCCTAAGAGCAATTCATCCGGTTTACCCTTTTTTTAGTTTGGGGATTTCCAACTAAATGAATGGAAAGAGGTGAACCCGAAACACGGGTAGGGAGACCTGAACTCACAGCTTTTGCTTGTAACAGGCAAAACACACTAAGTATTTCCAGGACCAGGTCCAAACACGGAGCTTATTAGTTGGGATGTTTTAGTTGTCAAAATACAAGTTGCAGTCCAGCGTGTCCGTCTTCCCACTCCCTCCGCCCTGGAAAAACTGTCTCTTACAGACAGGGCCCGGAGCTCACGCATACCTTTGCTTTCAGAGCCCAGCCCTGTGGGCTCATCTCGAGCTGGCCCTGGTGGTAGTCTACATGGCCTTGTGGTATAGAAGAGGCTCAACAGAGGAGGAGGGGTGCCCCGGCTGGCTTGGCAGGAGCCCTTCACACCTTCAGTCTCAGCTTCGCTCCTCAGACAGTTGGGAGGAGGATGGGTTGGGGCTTTAGCTTACGGTTTCAGCAAAGCTATTCTAAGCACTGTGGGGAAATGCTTAGATGTGGATACATGCTGTCCTCTGCATGCCCGCGTGACTCTATATACTGCAGACACCATAGTGAGGACTGGAAGTGAGCCAACAGGAAGGCACTTCTCCCTAAAACTGGTGAAACATTAACGGATCCGAGAACTTCCTCCCAACACAGTGACCTCATGCACATGGACATGCACACACAGCCATGGCTTTCAGAGCTCTGAGATGAAATCCAAATCTTAGTTAAAAAATGAGTGTCAAGAAATAAATCACACACGGAGCCTTACTCTTAATTATAAATGCTTGGCCTTAGCTTGGCTTCTTGCTAGCCAGGTTTTCTCTTTTTAATTAATTTTTTATTCATTTTACATACCAACCACAGTTGCCCCTCCCATCCACCCTCACTTTGCCCAACCCTCCCTCATCCACTCTTCATAAAGGGTAAGGCCTCCCATGGGGAGTCAACAAGGCCTGGCATGTTCAGTTGAGGCAGACCCAAGCCCTCTCCCCCTGACTGCATCAAGGCTGAGCAAGGCATCCCACCATATGGAATGGGCTGCAAAAAGTCAGCTCATAGCCAGGCGGTGGTGGCGCACACCTTTAATCCCAGCACTCGGGAGGCAGAGCCAGGTGGATCTCTGTGAGTTCGAGGCCAGCCTGGGCTACCAAGTGAG